TTCCTTCCTTCCTTCCTTCCTTCCTTCCTTCCTTCCTTCCTTCCTTCCTGTCTCCCTTCCTTCCTTCCTGTCTCCTGCTTCTTTCGCCAACACTTTTCTGTAAGCTCCTTGCGGGGAGAGACTTGTTTCCTTTTCCCTATCAAGCTGTGCAAGGCTCACTCGCTGACTCCACCACTGCGTTGTTAGTATTAGCTAGGGATGGAGAGCTTCAGTGTGTTACGCTTTCAAGAGTCAAAGCCTTATGCCCTGACAGTCTGGTTGGTTTCTGAGGTGCTACTGGGCTCAAGGCGAGCTGTTACACATGAAGACACAGGAAGCTGCGTTATACTGAATCAGTCCAATGTCAGTATTGTCTACTCAGACTGGCAGTGGCTCTCCAGGATTTCCAATGAAGGTCTTTCACGTCACCTGCTACCTGGTCCTTACAACTAGAGTTGCCAGGAACTGAACCTGGGACCTTCTGCGTGCCAAGCAGAGGCTCTGCCACTGAGCCACGGCTCCTCCTCATGGATCTCCAGGGTCTCTCAGGCAGAGGTCTTTCACATCACCTAATGCCTGATCCTTTTATCTGCCGGGGATTGAATCTGGAGATGCTGGGGATTGAACCCGGGACCTTCTGCATGCCAAGCGGAGGCTCTGCCACTGAGCCACTCCCCTCCTCATGGATGTCCAGGGTCTCAGGCAGAGGTCTTTCATGTCACCTACTGCCTGGTCCTTTTATCTGCTGGGGATTGAATCTGGAGATGCCGGGGATTGAACCTGGGACCTTCTGCATACCAAGCGGAGGCTTTTCCACTGAGCCATAGTCATTCCCTGTTCCACTGCAGATTAACAGAAGACCGTAAGAGAAGCCCTGTTGGATCAGGCCAATGGCCCACCTACTCCAACTCTCTGTGTCACAAAGAGGCCAAAACCAGTGTTCCCTCTAAGCTGAGTTAGTGTGAACTAGCTCGCAGTTTTTTAGCCTCTGGCTCACACATTTTTGTCTTGGCTCAAGACAGAGGGCTCCAGAGCAAGCTAATTTAAGTAGCAGCCCAATCGCTCGCTCACAACTTTAATGTCAGTAGCTCACAAAGTAGAATTTTTGCTCACAAGACTCTGCAGCTTAGAGGGAACATTGCCCAAAACCCAGGGGCCCTCAGGAGATCCACCAGTGGGGCCAGGACACCAGAAGCCCTCCCACTGTTGCCCCCCCACACAAGCACCAAGAATATAGAGCATCCCTTGCCCCAGACCAAGAGTTCCTATCTATACCTTGTGGCTAAGAGCCACTGATGGACCTCTGCTCCAGATGTTGACCCAACCCCCTCTTGAAGCTTTCTCTGCTTGTAGCCGCCACTCCTTCCCGCGGCAGGGAATTCCACAAGTTAATCACTCTTTGGGTGAAGAAGGACTTCTAAGCCTACAGCGGCTTAATTTCGTGGAATGCCCACGAGTTCTTGTCTTGCGAGAAAGGGAGAAAAGGACGTCGTCTTCTACCTTCTCTCTCCCATGCATAATTTTGTAGACATGGCCAGACGGCTACCCTCTCTGAAAGAAACTCCAGGACTTGCTTAATCTGGAGCAATGTTCCCTCTAAGCTGTGGAGTCTTGTGAGCAAAAAAATTCTACTTGGTGAGCTCCTGGCATTCAAGTTGTGAGCCAGCGATTTACTCAGCTTAGAGGGAACACTGCCCTGGAGCCCTCCATCCTGAGCGAAGACAAAAATGTGTGAGCCGGAGGCTAAAAAACTGTGAGCTGGCTCACGCTCACTCAGCTTAGAGGGAACACGGATCTGGAGGTGGCAACTCTACCAGCTGCACTCTCATGGTGAGTGGACCACTTTTCCTCTGCCCCCTGTTTACTAGGGTTGCCAGCACTGTTCCCTCTAAGCTGAGTCAGTGTGAGCCAGCTCACAGTTCTTTAGCCTCCGGCTCACACCTTTTTGCCTTCGCTCAGGGAGGAGGGCTCCAGGGCACGGTTCCCTCTAAGCTGAGTTAGTATGAGCTAGCTCACAGTTTTTTAGCCTGCGGCTCACACCTTTTTGCCTTTGCTCAGGGAGGAGGGCTCCAGGGCAGTGTTCCCTCTAAGCTGAGTGAGTGTGAACCAGCTCACAGTTCTTTAGCCTCCGGCTCACACATTTTTGTCTTGGCTCAGGATGGAGGGCTCCAGGGCAGTGTTCCCTCTAAGCTGAGTTAGTGTGAGCTAGCTCACAGTTTTTTAGCCTCCAGCTCACACATTTTTGTCTCCGCTCAGGAAGGAGGGCTCCAGAGCAAACTCATTTATGCAGTAGCCAAATCGGTTGCTCACAACTTTAATGCTAGTAGCTCACAAAGTAGAATTTTTGCTCACGGGACTCTGCAGTTTAGAGGGAACATTGGTTGCCAGCCTCCAGGTGGGGCCTGGGGATCTCCCGCTTTTACAACTGATCTCCAGCTGACAGAGATCAGCTCCCCTGGAGAAGATGGCGGCTTCAAAGGGTGGACTCGGTGGCACTGGAGCACGCGGAGGCCCCTCCCCTCCCCAAACCCCGCCCTCCACAGGCTCCGCCCCCAAAGTCTCCAGGTATTTCCCAACCCGGACCTGGCAACCCTACCGTTTACCGAGGCCACCCCCAAAACGAAGCCGCTGTTCTAAGCACACGGCAGAGCACCTTACCTCCCCGGGCAGAGCAAGTTGCCCTGCACGCGTTCCGGGATCAGTGCCTTCTCGGGGTGGGATGCTCTCGCCAAAGAAGACGCTTCCAGGGCAGGTCCCGCTGGGTCACCCTCTTCCCTTTGTGCTCTGTTCTGCCTTGGCTGCTTTTATAAGGCTCCCCGGCCCAGTCTGGCCTTGAATCGGGATGCCTGCAGGCTCCAGCTTCGAGTCCCAAGCGTGGAAACCACAAGAGATGTGTTTGGTCTGGAATGAACGGCTGCAGGAAATCCAAGAAGGGCAGTAAAAGAGAAGGAGGGTGGGGTGGGGGGTTGAGGAGGAACCAGCCCTGTAATTAGCCCTCCTCCTCCTCCTCCTCTCCGAAACAATAAACTTCAGAGCTGGAGGCCCTTGGTTTCCCACCCCCCCTGCTTTGGATAAGGGCCCACAAGCCATTCAGAAACAGGCAGACTTCTTAACAAGCCACCCCGCCCGCCAGGAAAGGAAGGGCCGGCCGCTATCATCCCCAGACATCAGGGCGGGGAAAAAGGGGGGAAGAAGAAAATGCCAAGACATCTGGACCAGTGTTCCCTCTAAGTTGAGTGAGTGTGAGCTAGCTCACAGTTTCTTAGCCTCCGGCTCACACATTTTCGCCTTGGCTCAGGAAGGAGGGCTACAGAGGAAACTGATTTACGCCGCAGCGAAATGGCTCACTCACAACTTTAAGGCCGGTAGCTTACAAAGTAGAATTTTTGCTCGCAGGACTCCACATCTTAGAGGGAACATTGATCTGGACCCGAAACAGCAGCAGAGCCCTTCCCCGAGCGAAGATAAGGAGGGGCCGATTTGCCCCAGGGGGCCATTTTCCTGCCAAGGACACTTAAGTCAAGGCATTCGGTCTGTCACGCAAATGCCAAAGGCGACCCTGGGCTCAGTCCGGCCAGAAACTGCTGTGGGGCATCTTCGAATAATTTCCTTGGGACTTGTGAAGGAGAAAGTCCCCTCCATGGGGCCAAAGAGTTAGGGTCTGCTTTGGTTTAGCAGGCCCTTTCCTCTGCTTTCCGGCCGTGCATGGAGAGCACTCACAAGTAGAAGAGGAGATTGGATTCATACCCCGCCCTTCACTACCCAAAGGTGTCTCAGAGCAGCTTACAAACTCCTTTCCCTTCCCCTCCCCACAACAGACACCCTGTGAGGGAGGTGGGGCTGAGAGAGCTCTTGACAGAGACTGCTTTTTCTCAAGAACAGCTCTTGTCAGAACTACGGCTTGCCCAAGGCCATCCAGCAGGTGCAAGTGGAGGAGTGGGGAATCAAACCAGGTTCTCCCAGATTAGAGTCCGCACACTTAACTACTACACCAAACTGGCTCTCAAGTGATGTCAAACATGATCTAGGCGCAGACATACTGCTGAAAACCAGGGGTCATTTCGTAGAAAAAGAGGTACAGGAGCTCATTAGCATAACCCATTTGCATATGCTACATACCCTGACGTTACCGGAAGTGTGTCAGAAGGCAACACCCACCGCTCAGGCTCCACTGGACTGTTTGGGACTGCTAGCTATTGGGGGGGGGCATGCAGATCTGTCCTCGCAGAGGAGGGAGAGCTTGTACCTGAATAAAACTTGGTCTTAAAGCTGCCACTGGACTGTTTTGGATTGCTATCTATGGGGGGGAACGCACAGATCTGTGCAGGAAGGAAGGAGGAAGGGAAAG